AAAAACATTCCAGTTAAAATCATTGGCATTTTAGAAGTTCTATTATGAAAATAGCTTGAAATATTGTTACCAACCTTTCCGAACACTTATCAATTTAGCATTAATATTAACAAAATCTGTGATATAAAAATAAATAAATTCCCTCTCAGTGAATGAAACTTAGTAACTAAAAGAGCCTCTTTTCATTTAATGGGCTAAGTTAAGGTTTCTTTTTCCAGAAATAAGACATGTTAAAAATAATTGAGCTTTATACATAAGTGTTTTAGAAGCAATATGATTAAAACCTATGTTTCAGTTTGCCATTAGACTAACCGTGAGAGCTTTTCATGATTTTCATCTCCACATTAAGAGTTAAATTCATCAAAAAGTCCTCCTCGAAGGCAAATTTTTCTCAATACATGATCCAGGGATAAGGAGTTAGACATTAGTAATCGAAAACTCAAAATTGGGTCAGTTTTTCAACAACGATTATAAAATAAAATAATATCTATATTTAAATTATATAATTATTTGTTTATAAAATATATTGATTTCATTTCAATGTTATCTATTTGAATAAATAAAACAAACAACTCGAGTTGATCAAGACAGGGTATCTGCTACATTTTTAGATCATCAGATTCATGACTAATTCCAAGAACTTTTCATGACGAAGTTACTATTTTCTCTGACAAAATCAAAATAATAAATTTAAAAAGCATTATAATAACATTAATTAAAATGATAGGCATAACCAAAACTGTTATACTTTGCATCTTCATATTTATTGATTTTAAATTTAAAAAAATAGAGTAAAGAAAGAGTTGAAGCAATAAAATAGCTGAGCAAAAAAAAAATTTTTTTTTCTTAGTGCAGAATTCTATTCTAAAAGATACTTTTCTTGTTCATCAGAAAGGAAAGAAACACTCCTGATTCTTCTGTTCTCATTTCGGAATTTTTAAAAAAAATTGCCAATGACTGGCTTGCTTCAGATAGAATTTTAAATAGATAAAATAAAATAAATAAATAATAATTCTGACATCACAGAAGTTTAAAAGATATTTCGTTCTAGAAATGATGTTTTTTCTTTCATTTCTTGAAAGAACACCATAATTTTTAGAGAACATGATAAAAAAATTTTATATTTTTATAAAATAAGACTCTGAGTAGGGATTTTGTTACAAATTCGAATATTCCGAACACCATGAAATTGGGAGGGGAATTCCATTTTAAAAATTAAATTTTTCGGCGACCTAAATCCATGACTTTCCATGATTTTTTTTAGAAAATAATTCAAATCATGAAAAATTTCGTTCAATTTTGTTGACTTTCCAGGATACTCTGTCAAGAGCACTAACAAGCCATAATAAATTCTAAATTTCTATATGTCTATANAAATTTTTCGGCGACCTAAATCCATGACTTTCCATGATTTTTTTTAGAAAATAATTCAAATCATGAAAAATTTCGTTCAATTTTGTTGACTTTCCAGGATACTCTGTCAAGAGCACTAACAAGCCATAATAAATTCTAAATTTTTCTAAAAAGGCCCTTTGTCTCTTTGGTAAATGAAGCTGAATCTTAATTTAACAAAATGCAAGAAAATTCTTCTCTTTTTTCCTTCCAGTTTCATAAGTCAAGCTAAGATAAGATTATTTTAAATATTTATAATAAAAAAAAATCTTTCTTTATCCCTAAGCAATGAAATAGGGGCAAGTTTTGTTAGTTATTTTATATTTTTTAAATTAAGAAAATATTCTAGCATATTGTTTAGGAAAAAAAATATTAAAATCAAAATTTGCTTCTACTTTCAAACCGCAAATGTGGATTAATACTTTTACCTAAAACAGATTGCATCTTTAATAACAAAACACTTAAGAATTCTATTTATCAGAAATTGAAATCTTATAAAATATTATAATTAAAGTAGTGAACTTTATAAAGTAGTATAACTTTATAAACACACGTGCGTAATCTAAATGAATAATTTCTTATTTTATTTGTTTTAATTTAAAATTTTTTGTTTAAACAAATGCTGCACGTAGGTTATTTTAAACAAAATTATTTTACGTATTTTTGCTTGAGTAGAACGTTTAAAATTGAGGGACTCAGGTTTTAGGACAACATTAACGTCGATAACGGCCACATAGCGTAAGTGGTGATTTAAAAATTGTCTGTTAGAAAATTGAAATTTTTTGATAGGAATTACAACTGTAAATTCGTTCAACACTTTTGCTTCGAAAATGCACCCCATTTTCTTATTTTTATATTAAAAAGTTGGAATTATTACGAATGTTTTATAATGTTGAGAAAATTTTTTGATTTGTTTCTAGTTTATTTCTTAAAATTTTCTAGTTTGTTTCCTAATTTTTTTTCCCTTCAGAAATGAACCTTGTAATGTTTACCATACTTCAAAAAATGCTTGAAAAGAAATGTCTAACATCATTGATATTAAGTTTTTTTTTAAATCTTTTTAAACTTGAAAAAAAATATGGCTTTAGTTAAAAATGTTACAACTAGCCTCTGGAGCAAAATGTCCTAATTTCGTCCCATAGCCTGGTGCAAATGTGGTTACAAACCCTACTTTATTCAAAGGTAATATTTTCAAATTAAAGTGTAATTCTCTCTCTTTCATATAATTCTCAAAGATATATTTAACAAATTACCAAAAATTTCATAAGATAACATTTAAAAGCAGAAAAACACTGAAAGTTTTTATTGCTAACATAACTGTAATGTATCTATTTATTTTTTTGGATCAAAAATGTTCTCCTGAGCATGACGTAGTGAGAAAGAAGTTTTTGAGAGGGCACACGTTTTTTATTGATTTATTAGTTAGAAATTTGTGGGAGATGACGGAATCTGTAATGTATTTAGGGCACATTGTGAAACCTTGAAAAATCTAAATTATGTTTGATTTTTTTTTAAATTTTTAGTTTTCGTATCTACTTACCTAAAAAATCAAGTTCAAAAAGTTTCAGTAAAATTGAAGAATATTTTGAAGTCACTCAAATCATTTGAATTTTTCTAATACGGATCATCTAATATTTACTACTTTTGCCGAAAATTTATTGGATATCTAGAACTGTTCGTATACTTTAAGTCCATCTATTTTCAAAACAATCTATCATTCTTTAGCCAACTTATACCTTAAACCAACTAACCGGTAACACTTTGTTTTTGTTTAAATTTGATAAATGTGCCAACCTTTAAAGAAATATGCTGCATTACCAATAAATATGTTACTTTAGAGAAATTTCAATGATTCGAGCAGCCCACGAAATATTCTCCAAATTTGCCTGCTTGATCTTGATTTTTTAGGTAAATAGACAAGTTTAATCAACAAAGACACAAAAACTTACTTTTTGTTTGCCTATAAAACTAAACAACTGTAATACGAAAAAACTATTACATTTATTACAAGAACCATAAAAAAAAAGCACACACACAAATTCAAAGAATATGTTATGTTAAAATATTTTTTTTTTTTATTTAATACATTACCACATTAGGAAAATTTCAAAAATGTACTTAAAATTATTTGGTAAAAAAGTTTTATAAAAAAAAAACATTATTAATAGCGTAAAATGGTACAATAATTTGAGAAAAAAATAGGTTTAAAATTATAATAACAGTGGTAGTAATAACAGGAAAAAAACAGGCTGGCAAACTTACATAAATATTTGCTCAGTCAGATGGCAGTTCTGTGAAACAAATTTATTACATAAGCTACAAAAAAGCGGTTTTTCACCTGCATGAAAATGCTTGCGTTTAGCCAAGTATTATGAGAGAAACTTATGTTACATGTACGTTAAGAATTAGATTTCTCTACAGTATGAATATGGCTATGCCTAGTCAGAGAGCGTTTGTGTGAAAAACTTTTATTACATACATTACAGGAAAAAGATTTCTTTCCAGTATGAACATGGCTGTGCTTAGTCAGATCACCACGATGTGAAAAACTTTTATTACATACATTACAAGAAAAAGGTTTCTCACCAGTATGAACACGGGTGTGCCTTATCAGATCACCACGATGTGATAAAGTTTTATTACATATACTACAAGAAAAAGGTTTCTCACCAGTATGAACATGGCTGTGCCTTATCAGATCACCACTTTGTGAAAAAGTTTTATTACATATACTACAAGAAAAAGGTTTCTCACCAGTATGAGAGCGACAGTGCTTAATCAGATCACCATGACGTGAAAAAGTCTTATTACACACACTACAAGAAAAAGGTTTCTCACCAGTATGAACACGGCTGTGCCTAATCAGATCACCACTTTGTGAAAAAGTCTTATTACATATACTACAAGAAAAAGGTTTCTTACCAGTATGAATACGGCTGTGCCTAATCAGATCCCTATGATATGAAAAAGACTTATTACATATACTACAAGAAAAAGGCTTTTCACCAGTATGAACACGACTGTGCTGAATCAGATTAGAATGACGTAAAAAACTCCCATTACATAAGACACAAGAGTAAGGTTTCTCACCAGTATGAGTGAGACTGTGGTTATTTAGATGTTCTTTCCGTAAAAAACTCTTATTACATATACTACAAGAATACGGTTTCTCACCAGTATGAAGAAGCTTGTGCCTAGCCAGATTAGTATTACGTGAAAAACTCTTATCACATATACTACAACAAAAAGGTTTCTCACCAGTATGAACATGACTGTGCCTAATCAGACCACTATGATATGAAAAAGTCTTATTACATATACTACAAGAATAAGGTTTAACACCCGTGTGAACACGACTGTGCCTTGCCAGACTGGAAGAGCTTGTAAAACAAGCATTGCATATACTACAAGAATAAGGTTTCTCAATAGTATGAACAAGTCTGTGAGCATCTAAATCTTGCTTCTGCCAAAAACGCTTAGTACATACTTTAGAAGAAGAAGGTTTTTCAGCAGCATGAACTTCAAGCGTAAGTAAGTTGTTGCTCATTGAGATAGATATTTTTCCACTTTGTATTATTTGTATGTAGCAAAATACACTTATTACACTTTCACTTGAATTGAAATTTTTGAGAATGTTTCTCTGTTGAATGAATGATGGAAATACTCATGGATGCAGAAGGATCTGAAAGCAAAAAGAAAAAGAAATGCAAAGTTCGGAAAAAGCTCTGAGAGCACATTTTTAATTAATGAATAATAATAAATTTAATTGCATATCATAAAACATGTTTATTAACTAAATTTTGAAACAAGTTGCATAGAACGGCATATTGAATGATAGGAATACTATCGGCACATAGATTTTTGAAAAGAATTTAATTTTGAATATTTGGCCTATTGTAACTTGTGATCAGAGAGAACGACAAAAAGAAATAGTTTTTTAATATATTCCAAAATGAAAAATGAGAAAAAATGAAAGCTGTTTTGCTAATTTAAAAAAAAATTCTTTTTAATGATTTGTCATGACAATGAGTTTTAATTGCTACCGATTTCTAAGCTGAAAAATCCAATAACTTTGAACAAAAAATTTCAATGAGTATGTTTAACGTTGGCTACCAAAAAAATATCTTCACGATTAAAAAATTATAAATCTAAAAAAAAAAGACGAAAAAAAATATAAATTAAATAAAATTTAAGTAATCTTGTGTGAAATGCTTTTTTACAATTGGGTATGAAAAAAACACAACTACTTCGATTTAGTAGGAACAACATATGACGCAATGCTAAACGAATGGAATTTAGTTGTTGTTTATTTAGTTATTGTTATTAGTAGTTGTTGTTATTTGTTTTAGTTGTTGTTGTTTATTTAGTTGTATTTAGTTTCAATAACTTTTCTTTATAATGCAATAAAATCTGGCGAGCAGCTATTTAAACGATCGAACACTTCGTTTGTTTATTTGTGGCTTGAAGGAAAATTATAGCTTAATATTGTTCATGGGTTAAATTTAGTAGGAACAACACAACCTGTGACGTAGGCTATATTATACCCAATTTCATCTTTGATTATTTTCGCGCCTCTTTTGGATAACACTTTGATTACTACTCCACCTTCTTTAATTCATCTAATACCTATGACACCATATTAGATACATAATATGTGCTTTAAGAGATTTTTCCGTCTCTTCTGGAGTACAAACAACGGTCGGACGCTGTAGGAGGACCCCACTTTAGGAGCTCCATCTTGCATGTTACTCTTTGCAATTTTCGAATAGTATTTCTGCGCTTTTCTGAATTAATTGTTTGAAGGCGATCTGCGCTTCATCTTGTGCTTTCGTGTAGGCCCACGACCTCATTTTGCCTGTTAACAAGACCGTTATACGTGAGGACATTTTTTTGTTACCTCATTCAGTTTCGGAACTTCCAATTTTTTATTTAAATTCTCCCTAATAAAGTTTAGAAAACGTTCATTTAGCTCTTCTGATGTCATCGACCATTCTTTCTGTGGCAATTCAGTGGACACATCGAAATCCTCCGGAATAGAATCCTTTTTCTCACTATCACTCATGTGTCAGCTTCTGTCTTAAAGCTCAAAATGATTTCAAGGAGGTTTGTTAATTAGCGCTATAGTCAGCACAATTCTGCTGTCTTCTGTCTACCACCCCCCCTCTGTCTGCGTTAGCCATCTGATGGACTGGTGTTACACCCGCATACTACGTTGAGATGCAGAGAAGGATATTGTTTGATGGTTAATAATGGTATTTAGTAGACGTTTTAAGAATTGTCCAATAATATATGAAAAATCCTGATTTTTTCATTGTATTTCATCGCTGATGAGATTTAAAATGATTTCAATATTATCTGAGTTTCGTTCATTTCGGGATTTTGTCCCAAATCATGCTCGCTAATCTTGTTGTGAAATGCGAGTTTTCTAACTGAGGATTTTTTTCCGAAGAGTAACCATCTACGATAATTCGAAGCAAGATGACAGATAATACAAGATAAAATCCCGATTTCTCCGAAATTCATTCATTGTCAGATATTTCATCGATAATAAGATTTAAAAGGATTTCTATGTTATATGAGTTTCGCCATTTCGGAATTTTGTCAAGAACACGACTGACTCGGCAAATCTTGCTTGCGAAGTTTCTGAATCAGGTTCTTCCTTCAAAACGCAAATCAACTGACATCATTGGAAGATATAACCGTCCAGCTAAAATCCAGATATTGACGATGGCGAATTGTTCCTAGTTGTCGAATATTTTGTCTGTGTTGAGATTTTGATTTAGATGGATTTCATTATTCAACTTCTTAGTCGGAGCAACTTAGCAATGCAAATATTGGTGTGCGAGGTGCGTTTTCAGATTCCTGTCCTTAATATATTAAAATATCAATTATTTAAGAAAACAAATATTATAACAATAAGTTTTTATTTCGGAACCAAGGAAGGTTTGAGCCCACGACCTCTTGCACATGAGCCGAACACCCTACCAACCAGGTTATCCCAGTTATTTTGATATTAGTTAACTTCCACAAAAACTTACTATTTCATCAATCAATTGTACAACGATTTCACTAAAAAAAAATCACTTTTCAAATACGAATTTTCCACTGAAAAACCCCTTCTCTTGTATTATCATTTCCGAGACACATTCTAAAATTTAAAAAATTTTAGTGACCTTAATTAATTTTTACTTAGCTGATCATGTGTCATAAAATTCAGACATTAATTCTTTGAATTATATTGATTCTTAATTAGAGGTTTAAGTAATTTTTTAAAGGAAGTGATGAACTTATATAAGTCTTCTTTAATGAATTAATACATTTTAAGTGAAAAAATGATCGTGCCGATGATGCAACTGATTTTTTTACTTTAGAAATATTTGGAAAATGGTTACAAATAAGAGTAACTATTAATTGTATACTTTATTAAGCGAAATATCTTATTTGAATTGGTAAATTCTGTTCAAATAATAAAATTTATTAAATAATTTTATTTTTTCGATTGTTTAAAGGTATTTTCCTACAATTGAAGTTTTTTTCCCCCCCGAGGAGATTTAATGATTATTAATTCGATAGTAGATAGATTTAATAGATAGATTATTAATTCGAGGCAGAAATGTTTCTCATTGCTTTTCCTTGATGAGGCATGCCATGCCACAGCAGTTTTTAAAAACAAGATGAACTTTGCACACGAATTTTCCTAAATAAATATTCGAAATTATAAACTAAACAATACTAATTACAAATGAAATCATAGCAAAATTTATTATTAAAGGAACTATTACCTCTAATTTATATTCCGATAAATCATCATAATATAAAGGAAATATTTTTTTTATAGATATATTTAATAAATTTACTTCAAGCTATTGTTGTTTCAGTTATAATAGAATTATTGTCACAAAATATCATTTTTTTTTTTTTAAACTCTCGGTCGGAATCATTTGTTTAAAAAGCAATGAGAGGAATTCAACTTAAAATTTTAGTTTGGTTTAATAGTTTTGAAACTCAATATTTTTAATCAACTTTTAAAATTGCTTCACCAACTCCAAATGAAACTAAACATTTATTTCAAAAAAGTTAATTTGTTAACGACCCTTAAGTTACTAGTTTTTTAAAATTTTGATAATTGAATTATTGAACCCATAATAAATTGTACATGGATCAAATCATATCTTTGGAACAATAAATCATCAACAACTCATGCTTCTTATCCACTAACAAAATTTGACTTTCTCTGTGGAAATATATATATATGCGATTCTCAATTCACCTTCAAAAAAGTTCCCGTTTCAAAAATAAAATATTCTTTTTGTTTTCAATACTATTTTTTTTTCTTCAAGAGTCCTAAAAATTCTGAAACAGCAAATCGAGTTGACACTCAATCGAATCGACATTTTAATTATTTTCCTCAATTTGTGGATGGTTGCCGAAAGAGGAACATGCATGCTTAGAGTAATCGTGTGATCTTGACTATTTTGAATGGATGGTGTTTTCAATATAAATGTAAACAATAACAATTTCGAGCTCAATACCAGCTCTAGCTCCGGTTAGAAAGTTTGCAACTGCTTACTACAGCTTGTTCTGTGAGGCTATATTTTAAAACGGATAATTGTTTCCAATTAAAGAAGTAAATTAGATAATTTCTGAGCTCAAATCTGCCGTAATTCTTATGAGTTTGAAGTGAAAATTTGTTTTAGTTATTTATAGATATATTGTTAAAAAAAGGTGACATGTTGCAAGATTTTGAATAACTCGCTTTTTTGGCATATTTCCATTTGTTTATTACTGTTTGCAAGCTGTGCACCATCTTACGTTAGTGTTAGCACCTTTAGCATTGTAAACAGAAGTAATAAGTAATCAAATACCACGTTTGCAAAAATCTCAAAACACAATGATCACTTTGTGAGACAAATGGCTTTAAAATGCACCGGAAACGGTAACTAGGAAAAATAGGCGGTATGGAGCTTGCTGCTTTGCCTAGTGTAGAAAACACCATCCATAGTCTATAACTAAAAACTCCCAAAAATCAAATCAGCAGGTTCAAAATTGGCCTGAAATTTTTAAAATCATAACTTAATAGCTTAAAATGAAATCAACTTCACGGGACTCAAAATGAGGTGGGGATTGCTTATGACGACAGAATCAACTTCCTGGGTAGACGGAATTAGCCCAACTAAAGCTTGTCACAGGGTGTTGTTTACAAAACAGTTTTATTTTTATCTCACTCTCTCTTTTTTCTTTTTTGCCAAAATTGTGTTAACTTTTTAATACAATGCAGAGATAGAAAGATATTTGGTTCGAAAATTGATATTTTTTATTCAAAAATAACAATTTTGTCTTCTATAGAAGTAAACTGGTTCTATGTATAGTATTGTTTCGAAATTTTTCACCTAATGGTTTTTTCCAGATAGGAAATAAAATTATTTAGGATTAAAATTTTTAAGTTTTTCACTAGAGATGCAAATAATTCTTAATCGCTTATTTATTTAATTTTAGTTTTTTTTTTAAACCTTTTCTCTTGAAAAAGTACAAAAAATAAATAATCATTTATATCTAATAAATTTTTTTATGTGTAATGTTGAATTTTTTCAAAGTAATAAACTGGATGCGAAATTTGTATTTTGAATATATTTGCAAGATGCATTTCGCAAAATAAAATTCATACTAAATTTACAAAAAACTATAAAAACACAATAACAAATTGTCTCCGTGTATAGAAAAGTTAAAGCGTAATACAAATAAACTACTATTTTTTCTTGAAAAATTATAAAGAAGCATGATATTTTAATTTTCCTTTTTTGCAATTTAAATATTGTTAAAATTGCTAATTTTGTTTCAAAATTTGCTTTTTCAGTGACAATGAATGAATTATAAGTTTTTTTTTATGATTCAAAATTTACAGAAACGAGTTTAAAACAGATATTATCGGCAACGCTCGTACACGCCACCTGGGAAGAAGACCGGTTCCATGCCTTTGGCCCTTCCCTCTCCTCCTCTTTTCAGTTGTACAGGAATGCACTACGATATTTTTTCCTTTTCTTAATATTTTTCGTATTTAACTGTCAAAAATATCTAATTTTTAAAATTTCCATGACGCTTTCTTTTAGAACTATGTCTAATGTAGTTTTCAGTTCCATATAGTTTCCTAACTTAAAAGATTTTAATCTATTTGAAAATCAAGAGAACAGCTAACGTACTTCCTTCTTCTATGACTCTCCATACACTAATGGTGAAATCATTCGAAATGTTGCCATAGGTAGAGAACTGTGCTCAGCGCCTCCTGTAGCCCATTTCAATCGCCAATAATAATTTAAGATGCTATTTTCTTCTTTTTTTTTAATTAAATATTTCTCTCCCTTTTGAGAAAACTTTTCGTTGGTGCCCTTAGAAAAATAAATAAATTTATGAATGACAAAAAAAAAAGTTTCAAACTACTTTCCTAATTTATACTTTTTTTCCAATAACTTTCAAAGAGAATTATTTTTACTAAAAACATACAATGAAGTATGAATCGTTTTAAAAATGCCATGCTGGTTTGATCGCAGACAGAGGCAATGAAAATGTATAAGATTTTAAATTAAAAGTTTTTAAGGAAATAACGTTTAAAAAAAAATTTCAAAAAATTTCTCTTATTTTTTTAGTTTTAAAATACTTCATTTAATTACTATTAGAAGATATGCAAATGATTTTAAGTACCATCCATTTTTATTTGAATTCCTTTCATACTTTAACGCCGCCCAACTACACAAAAATAAAATTAATTAATTTTTACTCTAAAAATTCGGTTTCAATAAAATAAAAAAACAAAAAAACGTATGTTTTAGATAACGAAGTTAAACCAGAACAAAACAAAATAGGTGGTTTAAACAGGGTTCCAACTCAATTTCCGAAAAAAAAAATTCCCTGACTTTTCCAAGTAAATTTCAATGAAAATTGAGACCATATTTTCATCAGAAGACTTTGATTCTTTTATTTTTTTGTGAAATATAAGATTTTCTGTCTAAAACAATATTATTTTTTGAGGATAGGAACATTTTACTATAAAAAAATAATTGTAATAGATGTAAGAATTATTTAACTCTATCTCAGTAACTGATTACTAACAATTCCGAGACTGGTTATTTTCCAGGCATGATATAGGAATATTCCAGGTTCTTGTCAACATATTGCAACTTTCCCCGATTTTTGGAGTTGAAATAAAATTCCCTGACAATTTCAGGTTTTCCCTGCTCTCCCTGACCAGTGGGAACCCTGTTTAAAGAACAAAAATTATTATTAAAAAAGAATAACCTATACAGGGCTACCCTTTATAACTAAATTCCTTTCATTTCAAAGAATAAAAAGAAAAAAAGGCATTTCATAAAAAAAAAGATCATTTCAGAAGCAAGGATTTATTCAGCAAAATGAATAAATCCTTGAGAGAAACTTAATCAAAAGCAAAATATTAAGAACTGTAAAACGGTCTTTGTAACAAAATAATAAAGTTTCAGATAGTTGACGATTCCACCCCCCCCACTCGTTTTGATCATCACGTTTGATGGCTTTGAACCAATCCTATCAATTTTTCGTCTTTCGGTACATTAAAAAAAATTGTATATGTTGTAAATGCTGTTACAACGTGATATAAAACAATACTTGTTGAGAGTGCTTGGAGTTATTTTTGAGAATTTTTATCAATGTTCTACGAAAGACGGTATGCGATTTCACTGTATCAGAAGGTGATGGGAGACTCATTGGTTCTATATTCTGACGTCATCATCCGAGATGGGAAAACTGAGTGTTAGGGGGCGTGGCTAATCGAGCAATTTTAAATATTCATTACAAAATAACTTAAGGTTGTTGTTGTTAATTTACGTCGCACTAGAGCTGCACAATGGGCTATTGGCGACGACAAAATAACTTAACTAAAATAGGTGTCAGTTGTCATAAAAAGGTTTGAATTTCATTTTAGAAAATAAAATAAATACCACGCAGGTTCCTCGTTGCATCTTAGTAAGTGAAAATTTGATAAGGAGATCAAAAGATAGTCAGCCATTACGTTTTCTAAATGACGCACTGTACATATATATAATTATACAAAAATATAATCACGCAGCAGTGATATAAGATTACAAAAGTGAAATAAAAATAACATAAAACACAATGAATAAAACTGTATGTATCTAAGGGTGGGGCAAACAAACATAGTTTTCGTATCCAAGTTGAATAAACTAGTCTACTTACCTAAAAAGTCAAGTTCAAAAAGTTTCCGTAAAATTGAAGAATATTTAGGGGTCACTCAAATCATTTGAATTTTACTAAATACGGATTATTTAATATTTACGACTTTTGTCGAAAATGTATTGGATATCTAAGAATGTTTGTATACTTTAAGTCCATCTATTTTCAAAACAATCTATCATTCTTTAGCCAACTTATAAATTAAACCAACTAACTGGTAATACTTTGTTTTTGTTTAAATTTGTCAAATGTGCCAACTTTTAAAGAAATATGCATCACACAAAACATGTTACTTTAGAGAAATTTCAATGATTGGAGCAGCCACGAAATATTATTCAAATTTGCCTGCTTGAACTTGATTATCTTAGGTAAGTAGACAAGTTTAATGAACAAAGGCACAAAAACTTACTTTTTGTTTACCCACCCGTATACAACTAAACAACTGTAATACGAAAAAACTATTACATTCATTACAAGAGCCAAGTTATTTAAAAAAAAAACACACACACGCACACAAATTCAAGGAATATAATGATAGGTTAAAATATTGTCCTTTTTAAAAATTTAAAACATTACACCACATGAGGAAAATGTCAAAACTGTACTTAAAATTATTTGGTAAAAACCGTTTTATAAAAAAATCAGTATTAATAGTGTAAAATGGTACAACAAGTTGAGAAAATTAAAATGTGTAAAATTATAATAACAAGTGTAGTAATAACAGAAAAAAAAAACAGGATGACAAACTAGCATAAATTTTATGTTTCGTAAAAAGAAGAAAAAAAATCACACTTAAATATGGGATTTATTGCAAATTTTCAGATGTTTTTAAAGGGGGAGAGTGTGTAGGAAATAGCCCAGCTTATTACAGCATTACAAGGATAGGATTTTACCACAAGTATGAGCTTCAGAAAAAAAAATGTATTTTACCAGTATTAACAGAACTGTGTACATTCAAACAGACGTTCTGTAAAAAACTCACATTACATGAACTACAAAAATAAAGTTTCTGATAAGTATGAAAGCGGCTGTGCTTAGCCAGATGAATCCTCAGTGCACAAATATAATTATACACATTACATGAATAAGTTTACGCACCAGTATAAACAGGGCTGTGCTTAGCCAGATAAATCCTCTATATAAAAGTTTAAATACACAATTTACATGAAAAGGTTTAACAACAATACTTTTATTACATGTACTTTAAGAATCAGATTTCTCTACAGTATGAATATGGCTATGCCTAGTCAGAGAGTGTTTCTGTGAAAAACTTTTATTGCATACATTACAAGAATAAGGTTTCTCACCAGTATGAGAGCGCATGTGTGAAGTGAGTTGGCTAGTCCGTGAAAAAGTCTTATTACATGTACTACAAGAATGAGGTTTCTCACCAGTATGAGAGAACATGTGTGCAGTGAGGTGGCTACTCTGTGAAAAATCCTTATTACATATACTACAAGGATAAGGTTTCTCACCAGTATGGACACGTCTGTGCACAGACAGATCACGAGTTGTTGAAAAATTCTTGTTACATGTATTACAAGAATAAGGTCTCTCACCAGTATGAATATGCATGTGCTGAGTCAGATAGCTACTAGATGAGAAACTCTTAGTACATATACTGCACGAATAAGGTTTCTCACCTGTATGAACACGTTTGTGCTCAGACAGATTACTATGAGATGAAAAATTCTTATTACATATAATACAAGAATAAGGTTTCTCACCAGTATGACAGCGCATGTGAGTATTGAGGTGGCTACTCTGTGAAAAATTCTTATTACATATACTACAAGAATAAGGTTTCTCACCAGTATGAGTGCGATTGTGTGTAGTTAGATCACACTTCTTTGAAAAACTCTTATGACATAAACTACAAGAAAAGGGTTTCCTACCAGTATGAGTGAGACTATGTGCAGTCAGATTTTTCATCTGTGAAAAACTCTTATTACATACTTTACAAGAAAAGGATTTTTCATCAACATGAACATCATGTGCAAGTAAGTTGTTGCTCATTGAGACAGATATTCTTCCACGTTGTATTATTTGTGTGTAGCAAAATTAACTTATTACACTTTCACAGGTATTGAAATTTTGGAGAATGCTTCTCTGTTGAATGAATGATGGAAATACTTATGGATTCAAAAGGATCTGAAAGCAAAAGGAAAGAAATGTTAAGTTCGGAAAAAGCCCTGAAAGCACATTGTTAATTAATGAATAATAAGTAAATATAAAAGTCTTATTAATAAGTAATAAAAATTTCTTTCTTCAACCATTCATTGTGGCAGTAAAAACAAATTTTAAGATGTTAGATCTAATGTTTTCGTAGCTATTATTCGAGGTTATCTTCAAGAACCACAAAATGCGAACTTATGTATCAAATTTTAAATAGCAGAACAGGGGGGAAATGAAAAAATATGCTGTTTCATACAGCTTATTACAAAATTTAGTTAAATAGTAACTAGTATTATATAATACTAGTGACTATATAGTAATTAGTATTAGGGATGTAACGAATATTCGGCCACTATTCGGAATTCAGCACTTTTGCCGAATATTCGGCCTAGCCGAATACTGAAGTATATGCTATCATTAATTATTTAGCACCTGTGAAAGCCTTATTGTTGGCATCAAGATATTTAAAATATTACAAAAAATACATCAAGTTGTTAAATTTTTTTTAAAATATAGAAAGTTTAAAAAAGCAAATTTGTTAATATTTATTTCATTTTTAATTTAAAATTTGAAAATTATTTAATTACAAAATTAAAATTTCTAAAGTGAAACTTTTTAAAAAGTTCTTCATTTTCTGGGTTTTAATAATTTTTCTGACAAAAAAGAAAGTTTAGTAGAATACATTTAACAGTAGTAATGAGCTCTTATTTGAAATTAAATAGCATATAAATTACAAGTATAACTATACCTAAAATATGCCATTATTAATTATTTAGATTTATAAAAGCCATATTGCCCTGTTATTGGCATCAAGATATTTAAATTATTACAAAAAATAAATCAAGTTGTTGAAATTTTTTTAAATATACAAAGATTAAAGAAGCAATTTTGTTAATATTTATTTCATTTTTAATTTAAAATTTGAAAATTACTTTAGTTACAAAATTACAATCAAAAGAGAAATTTTTAAAAAGTAAGTATTCGGCCTAAAATTTGGCCGAATATTCGGTATTCGGCCCCATCACTATTCGTTACATCACTAACTAGTATAATACAGTAACTAGCTTCTGATAAATATTGTAGAGAAAATTTGGAAAATCATGCATTTTTTGTTATTTAGAACAACAATCAAAATGGGAAAGAAAAAAATCTCTTTTTAAAAAATAGAGCACTTTTACAAACACCGAATAAATATGGCACTTTCAAGAGTTTTTAAAAAACATAAATAAAAACATACACCTTTAATCACTTTTTAAAAATACTACATACTTTAAACAGGGTACAATAGTCTTCTTTAATTCCAAATTGTGTGTACATACAGTATAGTTAAAAAATAAAAATTGTTTATCAAATAAAGTTATTGGAAAGGGAAGTTTGATTGGTGAAAATGAAGGTTTTAATTTTATTAGAAACTTTTCAAATTTATTGATTAAATATGTATCAAGTATGTGGAGAAGATATTAAAATTAAAAAAAAAGAGGTGAATTGCACAAATAGAAAAATAGCAACTGATAAATGGTTTTTCTATTCCGTGTGGATAAAGTATAAAGCAAATATTTCTGTTTTAGCTATAAAATTTCAATTTTAAATGAATAGCAACACATTAAGCATAAACAAAGTAATAACTAAGCACTCATAAATAAATTATTTATTTGTCAAAAAGAAAGATTTTTTTTATCACAGAAAAATGTGAATCAAAGACGACTTTGACTACATTTATTACGAAATTTGCCACTAGAGGCAAATTTATGGCCCCCAATAAAGTTGCCTCCAGTGGCCAGTAGACATCAGCTAAATTTTCCAGTTTTACCCTTTAGGTGCAGTTATAAACCAAATTCTTAGTTAAAAATATGTCATTGTACTAATTGACGACAAATTTTAATTCAGGATAATAAGTTCATAAAATATTGTTTTTAGCAATAAGAAAACGATTAAAATTCGCAATGTGATCCAACACAGAGTTTCAATTAAAATAATGCAGTTCCATTTAAAAGTAAGAATAGTTTTGATTGACTATAAATAATCAACAATAATTCAGCGATGAATTATTTGTGTAGCAATCATAAAATGATGAGAGTTTATATAGTCAAGCTAAGTAGAATTCAAGTTGCATTTAAAGTACTTTGATGAATTGTGTTTTAAAATTATAAAGTTCTAGCTAATTTCAAAGTGGTCACAGTTTTAATAAATGAAAAATTTCTTACAGCCATAATATTGAAATAAAATGCATGAAATAGTTAAAAAGTGACCGGAACTTAAATTATTGTTTAGAGTGGAGTCCTGGTTGTATTTTAAGTTGTTTGGGTAGACTTAAAATTGTCAGAATTTTGATTTATGGTAACCTCAATTTTTTGATATATGATGATATCCTTGCATTCGTCATGAAATTATTAAATGTTGTCACCTGACATAGAACATTCTATTCTGAGAGGGTTTGATTACATTGTTAGAGACACAAAAGTAAGAGAATAATAACATTGTAAAAAGGCACAGTTGCATGTAGGAACTAGTAATCTCAAATGTGACAAAAATGTCCGAAATACAACAATGATGTATCTTTGCTAAGTTACAGATAACAATTCAATTTCAGCAAGAAAAATTTGTTTAGAGCTGAAATTGTAATACACCAGGCATTTGCAGTAAATAAATTCAATGAAAGGTAAATTTGACAAACTGATATGAAATCCGGCACTGACATTTACAGCTTATGTGATTTAATAAATTGTTAAATGGATACGCTGAAGGAACTGTGTTGAAAAACCTATTCGAATTTTGCATTGAAAAATTATAAAATTTGTGTGAATGATAACTTTATTTCAAGTAAATACCAAAGTGAGGATTCTTACTCACTTCAAAGGATATAGTTGAATCTTAACATCAAAAGATTGATAAAGCTTATACCAATCTTAAACTCGTTCTTGAAGAAGGTTGTATTTTTTGGAACTCTGTAAATTTGGCAAATAATTTGTGTACATTTAAACAACTTAACCCCTTCTTTCTCGCTCCCGTAAAAATGACGGGGTAAGGATTCGCCCTCTATTTCTCCAGGGGTGATTGTGAGCCCAAGTCAAAATTCCGGAAAATTTCTTGAGTTACACATACCTATACCATTTACACATATCCATGATGACCTGGAGAAGTAATTAAAATTTACAAATATGTCTTTCTTTCTTGAGTTTATGATTATAATAACTATTTACTGATAAAAAAAATAAATATTAATTATGAATATAAGCTTATAAAGTATCTGGCTCTCCCTTACAAACAAATAAACTGTGTTTTTAAGTTCCACATTTGAAAATTTGATTTCCGGAAATTCTGTGATCAATAATTTTTTGAAAGGTCTGGACCTTCGATCAACGGAAACTTCCGAATCACTGTTAGCGAAAAATCCGGAAATCCGAATTTTTTCCGGAGCACAATCGGCCCTGTTTCTCGCTCCCATGATATTGACGGGCTGGAGTGCTCAGTAATATCAAGCCAATAATAATGAACTAATACATTTCTTTTGCCTGGAAAACACTTTATTTCTCATTTACACACCAGAGTGCAGTACCAGGATATTTTTAAGGTAATTGTAGATAGTTAGTTTATTTTAAACTAGATATTAGCACTAATCAAATATATAATACCAATACAAAAGCCAAAAAAATAGGCACTTTTATGACCCTTTTCTTGAAAGTTAACCGATCGTTAAGGGGTTAAANTCAAACTTTCATTTAATGACATAGCTAAGTGAACTATTAATTGAGCGTAAAGTCAAAACGCAAATTATTTCTTCATAAAGGCAGAACTGTGTTTACTCTTAATGAATGAATATATATATGTATATTTATTGAAACAAAATGGAGGCCAACATGGGTGTTATACTTTGTACTGGAGAAATATGAGTTCTTCTCAAATTTAATTGACAATACCAAGTGAATTTCAATCTTCTTTACTGATGGAGGGAAAAAACGGTTGGGATGAACAGAGTTGCCACGTAAAAAAATGAACAAAATAGTTGCTTTTAGTAGCCTAAAACATGAAAATAATAGCCAAAAACAGGAAAATAATTGCCTAAATAAGAACGAAAATTCATCAAAAATATGACTAAAATTTTGTTAATGAATTAATTGTCATATACCATGATCCATTCAGTCAAGTTGGTAAGAAATATGATAATTTTTATACAAACGTAATTGTTTATACATATATGAAAAGTGATTACTCAAATTCGAAATTCACGCATCGTAATATCATATTAAAATTATTTTTTTTAAATCATGCGGAACTTCATAGATGAAGTCTGTGCAGATTGAACGAATTAAAAATTGAAGACTTAAATTTGCAATTCAAAATTTTCAACATTTTTTAAGGAAAAAAAAGTTTAGACTGTTCAGAAACTATCTTGTGGGATGCAGATTTTCCACTTTTGCTTAAAAAAAAAATTATAATAATCGCTAGGAGTTCAGAAAAGTCTCCAAATAGTCTCCTTTTCCTGAAAATAGTTGCTTTTTTAGCCTTTTCAGGCAAAAAAAGTTGCTATAGTCGCCTCATGCCAAAAATAGTTGCAAACAGTTGCTATAGTCGCCTCATGCCAAAAATAGTTGCAAACAGTTGCATTTTAGTCACCTGTGGCAACCCTGGATCAATTACTTGCCAAGTAATCGCAATATTCTTGTTGGATTGATTTGACAAATTACTAACATAATCTGTTATAGAATGCATTGGCGAAGACTATCAAAATCGTCTTTATCAGTGTGGCAACAGCGTTAGCATAGACAAAGATCCTCAGAAGTTAAATTGTTATGTCGTTAGCATGTTCTTACATTGACCGCTTAAATTAGATTTCTGATTCTTGCAAGAAACCAAAGCAATGTATGTATTAAATTGATAAGTAATATCGCAAGAAGTGTGCGAACACAGGAGGAAAGTACTTTGAAGAAATAAAATTATTGTTTCATTCTTAAAATAATCTGTAATTGACCTACTACGGTAACTTTTTGATTCCACTACATAATTATGCATAAAATCAAATTTATAAATAATAAAAGATAGTACTATTTTAAATAAATAAACAATTATGTTTTTGGTCTAGATTTGCCTTTATTTCATAACATAAAAATTAGTTTACTATACTAAGGCAAGAGAAGAGGTTTGTTTAATCTAAAATGACTTTTTTCTAATTTAACTATCTACTCTAAAAATTAATAATTGATAGCATAGCTTTTAGTGTACTCTTGATATCTTTTAGAGATAGTCAAAAAGAGCTCTCTAAACAAAATATCCCCCCTAAAGATTTCACTGTAATAAATATAACATTACGTTTCTTGATTCACATTTCTTACCGAAGCAATCAGTGAAAAACAACACTTTCTTCCTTGATGCAGGAGGGTTTATTTTTATACTATTACGCCTTGGGACCTAATTCCAAACCATTACTTCACAAAATCTGCTATAAATATAAGTATAATACATAAATACTTATCGACAATTATATAGTTTTTTTAAACTATTTAATTCATTTCATCGTGATAAAAACCAAATTTTGAATACTGATTATTTGTTGCTATCTATTGTTTGCCAAGGTTGCTATAGTTGCGGCGTGCTCTCTGCTTATAGCTCTGCGTTTCGATAGGTAAGGCTTAATTCAGGTTGGGGCTGGGTAGATAGCACAAGGTTGAAACGAACTACAGTCGAACTCGTTTATGGATGGGTGATCGTGTAAAGCTAAGGGTGGTGGCGCTAGTGGTAAAATTGCTCTTTCAGGACTTCCGGGTTACTGCTTTCCGATTTTGACGCCGCAGATTTAAAAAACGCGCCATCATGTTATTGCATCATATCTTTTGCAGTATTTCACATGTACCGAGTTCTTTCTTTCTGCCTTTAAACTTCAGCATTATCATATTAATATTATAATCATTAGAATATTTTCTAATTAGGATAACTTAAAAAGATATTTTATTCAAATGTAGCCAAATAAGGGATAAAATACAAAACATGGCAAACCTTAAGAATTATTCACAATGAGATATTAACTTTCCAAAATTTTTTTTGGCCTTACGACCTCTGAGAATCAATACATTTCTGAAAGCTCTTATGAATGGTACAATTATGTTTAGATTT